CGTAGTCCGAACGAGCATGTCTTTGTCGCTTGAAACTTTCCTCGAACAATATAATCGAGACAAGCGTCGCGTAATATTCGAAATAGAACCAGAAATTACGCGTAAGGTCCCTCGTCGACACACCCCAAAAATGTCGAGATCGAAGTGTTCGAAAGGTAAAACGGCGTCCACCAGAAAAAGAACAGCGTCCGATTCGTTGGTGCCAATTAAAAACTGGAAGCTTCTTCTCCCGGTCATTAAATCCGTAAATTAACCAAACGGCGCGGTGGACGATTGTTTTCGAGGATGACCCAGCGAAAACGGGCGCGATAATTTTTGCGATCGCTGTACCGAGAGAGCCACCCCACGGCCGGACAGAGCCGCGGGGTGGTACGAGGGCGCGAGCGAGACGGGACGAGTCGCAACCCCCTCGGCCCTAGAAAGGGAGAGAGCGCGTGTATATTCACGGGATAAAGGAGAAAAGAAAGAGTGAAAGGAGCAGAGACGAGCGGGACGAGGACCAGCTAGACGGCGAAACAAAGAGGAGAAGAGCCGGAGGGTAATCGAGAAACGTGCCAGGAGGAAGGGAGACGGACCGTCGGAGGGGTCGCGAGAAACGTTCGCCAGAGAAGGACGAGAACAGAAACAGGGACGAAGGGAGGTAAAGGGGGTGGCTGGTGGGGGTGGCCGGGTGTCGAGGGGGTGTGTTTGGTCCAGGAACTCACGGTGATGCTGTATTGATCCGAGTGCACGAGCGGAGCTAAAGTAAGCCGAGGCTGGCAGAGCGTTGCCTTGGCAACCTCCTCCCTCATCCCTCAGGACTTTCCATCGGTCGGACCAGCCCCTCGCACCGAAAACCACCCCCCGATGCCGACTCCCTCGCAACCCGCGCGTTCCTCGCCCCGTCCAACTCCTCTGTCCTCACCAGGTCGATCTATAGGTGTTAAACGAACCACCCGGTTTCTCCCGGTGTGTCCTCTCGCTGCACGCTGGATTTCGACGAGGACGCTGGTAGGTTCGCAGCTTCCGACGTTTCTACGCGAAGTCGCGATGCGAAAGCTCGTTTTACCAACCCCGCAGCCCGGGTGGGCGGATGGAATCCTTCCTCGGTTCTTCCCGACGCGACGGGTTTTCCTTTGGCACCTCAACAGGGGATATAATCTCGCGCGTGTATCGCTCGAGACGCGGCGAAATTGTGCTGCGAATAATAGACGACGACCGGGGACGTTGGGTTTGTGTACCTTTTTTTTTATTTTTTTATTTTTATTTTTTTTTTTTTGAGAAGCCAGACTCGATTTAATTTGTTTCGTATCGACGAGAAAAAGTCTGCGATTTAATCCCTTGTACGTACAGCGAAACGTACGAAGGATTATCTCGGATGGTTTAGACAGGCATCTTTTGTGTAACACTGTTCGTTTGTTATACTTGGAATAGATACACGGATTATATGAAAGACGAGAAAGGGGGAGAGTATATCGCGATATGTAGGTTTATATTATTAGTACAGGTAACGTAATTTTCCAGGTAGTTTCAATTAAATTACTAACGTAAAATCGAAATCGAGTTAGCAGTAAATTTAGGATTCTAATTTAAAGTGTAGATCACGCTTTAGCTGCAGCCTGGAACAATGGCTATTAGATCTGAGTACACCGATCGTAACGTAATCCACGGCAATCGGGTCGAACTTTAATTACCACTCGGCTAAAATCTCGAATCAATTTGTCGAATGACTTTATTACGATATGTATCGCTCGAAGTGATTCTGCGATCGGTTAACTAAACTTAACGCAGTAAAATTTGTTTATGATATACAATATCACGTGGTAAGCATAGTACCTTTATTGGATATTATGTGTAACGCTTATCTTACATATAATAAAAAAAGAAAAGCGGAAAGAGGAGAAACGTTTCACCAGAGAAAAGTGCAATCTTATTAGAAATCTCACGGCATGATAAATGACGTCTACCACTTGCCGACTGGCCGAAATTCGAGAGACTCCCAGCGTCGAACGAATCGTTTACGACGGAGGGTACTCGACCTAGAAAGATTCTGTATTTATTTAGCCGCAAATAGGAATACACGGGCGTGTATGCGGGCGTACATGTGTATTTACACATATCTACGTAAAATAATACATTTGTAAAACCGTTCTAAATCAAATATATTAGTAAATATGTACGCATTTTAAATACACATTAATAATTATAAATCTATACACATCTACTACTTTCAAACATTCGTTTCAACCGATTTTTCAAGCCAAAAGGGAAAAACTTATCCAAACATTTCCCCGAACAAGGAGACCGAACACGTGAAAAAAAAAAAAAAAGAAGGACCGAAAGATTCATCGATTTCCGATGCTATTTCTAACGTGAAAGTTGAACCCGGCGTAACACGCGAAAATACGTCGAAAATGTTGCGCCGATTCTACGGGCTTGCCTCGTTTCCCGGGGCATTAATTAAAACCGAAAATGCGAAAAAATATTTTTTCGCCGTGCCGAAAAATTCCCCATTGTTCCCCAAACCCCTTCCCTGGTGCACCCGCCCTTCCCATCCTCGGCGTTAAAGGCGGCTCGAACGCACGAGCGATACTGAATTTTCGTCGAACGGCGTTCGTTGCGAATGACAACCCCCTGCGTCGTGCACACGACAGATGTAGCGAACAATATGGCCCCCGACGTGCGCGCGGCATAGTCGGTTTTGATTTCGGCGTTATTATGCCCACGGTCAGGTATAACGCACGCCTGAAACGTGTCAGCCGTCGATCCGTCGTTATTTCGTTCTCCATCGCGACGCATCGTTCGCCGTTCGCAAAATTGATCCGCAAACATTACTCGCGAACGCGAGGGGGGTCCTCCGCCGATCCCCCTCGCGGCCAGCTTTTCCGCCCCTCGACCATTTATGAAATCTTTCGTATCTCCGCGCCTATTTTCCATCTTTCGACGTTCTTACTCCAACCGACGTTACCGAATTTCGCTGCTGGAATTCGAGATGCGCTTTCCCGGAGTTCACGCACACGCTTGTTGTGTCCCCTTTGTTAACACGTTGTCTGCCGAAAATGTCGTAGAAATAAATACTACAACGATTGGTGGATTATATCGTTTCTGATTGTATGGAAAGATAATTTTAGGCTCGCAGAAACGTTCACGATTATTAGTTCGGCAGTCAACGTGTTAAGGGTCGCGGTCCATATCAAATCATGAAGCATCTTTATTTCAGTCAGACAGCCGCTAAATGGATTCAATTGCTCGAAATAATTAGAGGACCATTTATTCAATAACTTTATGGTTTAGCGAGGTAATCAATTTTCGAATACTCCTACGTGGCGTGAAAGTTAGATGTTTGGGATAAAAATTACTGTATTCAGTGGCAAAGCTCGTCTTTCATCTCAAATTCCCCGGAAACACGAACCCTTAATTGGCGTCGAGCATTAACTTTTTTGACGTTATTCGTACTAACTACGTTGTAATAATTCGCGATCATTATGAAACTGCTTACAGTCAGCGAGATGATGCGTCTACTCTGAACGATTAAGTAAGAAGAGGTGTAAAGAGAAACTGATTTATCGATAAAATTAATTAAACATTACAGGTAAAATTGTCAATCATTGAGTTGCTCTAGAAATAAGTTTGAGGCACTCGGGTCACGTATTCCATTTCAATAGTATTTTATTAAATTACTAAAACCCCTTTCGGACAACCCTTTACATGCAATGTTGCAAAAGTAAAAATGTAGTTACCATCAGGTTACAAAACGAAAACTCAGCGAACCTCGCCCTTTCACCTCGCTCTCTCTACAATATATGTCATAGTTACACGTACATACTTGAACTTGCGTCATTGTTCGTCGTGACGAATGAAAAATTGAAACAAATATTCAGATAAAATAAAAGCCTCGCTCGGAGTGTCTGGATGTAAAAAACGTATCCGTGTCCCTTTGGGCCCGCAGTTTCGCGAAGACAATGCTGCACGGTATCAACCAAAAGCCGAGGAGTATTGTGCAGCCGCAATGTCACGAAATTAAAGCCACCCCTGACAAAAAAAAAAAAAAAAGAAGAAAGAATTGGGGGAGCATCCGACTGTCGAAAGGGCAAAAGCACCCCGTCTCGCATGGAGCCCTTCCGTCCGGGCATCGACCTATCCAGATGGTAAGAAGCAGATGCATCATCCCCTGGAACTTGGCCGGACGTTCGCCAGGGTTCGCCAGCCGTTGGTCCAGCCCAGCATCCCTTCGACGACGCTCACTCGTCCTGTCGGAGACCGCCGGAACTACGCACGAGGTCGCAGGCGATGCACCCTCTGCGCAGGGCGTCTGCAAACAATAGACGCGTGCGTGCTCCGCGCGAGGGTGTCCCGTCTGTGCGCGATAATTTCATTAAAGTACAAATGCACCGACTCCAGTGACGAGGAAAAATAAACGTTGACCAACGACCGCGAGCCGATGGAACAGTCTCAAATAAAAAACACCCGAGGAAACTGACGCTGGAACGACGAAACCCGCGACGAACGGCTGGGGAGCCCCCGGGGGGACGTATCGGTCGAGGAAAACGTAACATGGCTGTAATCGGCGTCGTCCACGCTCGTAAACAGTGATTTCTATACATCGGACGAAATCGGTGGCGAGACCCATCGATTCAGGAAAGAGTCACGCTGGATAATCACTGATAACTGTGCCGTTTGCGTGGAGCTGGCTTATCAGGAGGGATGACACGTCACGCGGTGGTGCGCAAAAAATATTGCTGATCCTCGGTGCGCTCGGGGGGGGGGATCCTGCGCCGTGCATGACCGGCGACGGAAAGAAATTTGTCGGTAAGTGTTGCGGTTACTATTGATTATATTATGGTCGTCGATGGTGCCATTCGCTCTTCCGCGGCGTTGGTCACGCGTGAACGATGACGAACCGGCCACGGGACGCTTCTATGCTCATACGGGGTCGCTTATGTCGAAAGGGGCCGATTCGCAGTGACTGCGGGAGCGCGGAGGAATATATTTGAAATCTACGCACGGGAATCCTCGAGGAAATGAGATCCTACGACGGCGAGAGCAGCTCGACGGAGGACGACGACAGAAGAGAGGGACTCCCCGAGGCGCATCTTCAGCAAGGATCCTGGCAGCGCTCGGCATCGCATCCCACATGGGCCTGGGAGCATCGCGCCACTGTGTGTATCTGTAATTAAAGATACTAACATGATTAAAGTTACATTTTTGTCGTTAACAGAGAATCCGATTGTTATTATCGGTATGTCGAGTAAACCGGTCGTTTCGGCCTCGAGAACTTTAGTTGCTCGAACTGAAATGTTTCGTGACGCACGCCACGTGATGACGGGACACGTAACGGCTTAGAGGGGATGAAGCGGGAGTATGAAGAATTTTCATAAGGGTACATGGTTGTTTTTTGTATGACGAGAAGTTGATACTTTGTTGACGAGATCAATGAAAAGACGCGAAGAAAAATTAATTTTTCCTCGTGGGATTAGGTCAAGCAGAATTAAATTACCAACCTTCCACGAGCTTAACCCGATCATAATGAATGTAGAAACCCAAGTCTTCGACCTGTTGGCCATTTCAATTTAGCTATATGCTCGAAGTTCAGTAGCCAACGAATGCTTATCGTTGTTCTTTTATCAGACTGCGAGTGTGTTCGATCACTGTCAGATGTAGAAATTAATTCTTTGCTTTCACATTCAATTAACTATGACACCAATTGCGTCGACATTTGGTTTTACAACTATACGCATTCTTAAAAAGGCACAGAATTGATTTCTACATCTACCGATAAAACACCGTACCAAAGAAATGAAACGACTCTACCTAATTGTTATAATTATTTTGCTCCGTTCATATACGCAACGAACGTAATTGTCGTCCACAGCATCCTCTGCCACCGCAATCTGCGGCGTCGTTGGAGTCCATGTACTCGGTGCCAGGAGCGTCTCACCCTAGCGTTTCCGCTCCTCCAGCTGGCTACTCATCGGAGCTCCCTCAGAGTGCACCTGGTAGGAGGACTCCTCTGGGTGCCGTCGGTCTCGGTGGATTCTATTTTCAGCAGCAACCGCAACCGCACGCCTCTTCGAGTGCTTTGTCCGATGAGAACAGACCGGGCCACGAAAGGTACCAGGAAGTCTCCCCAATGAGTCCGCTTTAATCCTCCTCCGGAACCTGATGCTCGATTAAATGAGAAAGGATACGCAGGAAACGAAAGTTGGTCGCGAATTCACCTCGGGAAGCGACGTTCCGCTCGGTCACCGAACTTCGAACCGGTGCAGCAAATGCATCGGCGTGGCAGATAGTAATGCTCGTTGCAAATTTCTATATTGTTTTTCCGGGAGGATATTTGCCAATGAATTGGGGAATTTTTCCAGGTAAAGATAAATTCAAGTAGATCAAGGTTGGTCTTGTCTTGAGAGGAAAAACCTCGCTTATCCGTTGGTATTAGTAGCTCGTTTGTAAAAATATATTTGATACTATAACCTTGACAGGCTTCGTACAATGTTTTTATATCATGTGCGTCTTCGTGTAATGTTCGAGGAAGCAATTTTCCAAACATTTTTTTCTACTCTTTGCCAGCAACATGTGTCCATTGTATAGAATTTTTCTTTGTTTTATGAGAAGTCGGACACAATTTTGTTCGCAAAAATTCAAAGAACTTGCCGATTGAAAGATTGTAAACATCAACAACACTGTTTAAAATTTCCACAATATTAGAACGTGTCTCTGGAGAAGCTGGTACTTCATCAGAGTTATCTTGAAAAGATCTGACAATTCAATCTAAAGCAATATATATGTATACCTTGTCAAGACTCGATCAATTCTTAGTTTGCATTACTGTCGCATAGACGAACGTGCTGCACCTGTTCGAAGTGCACCCAGCTACAGGGTTGAAATTTTCTCAATTAACCGAGCTCCCGGTGCGGATCATCCGGTTCTTCCATCGGATGTACACCTCGAAACCACGCGAAATCGCAATGAAATGTTTTAAATCGCAGACCTAGTGCGTCCAGACTGAACTGCCCGCCAAAGTCGAAGAGCACGCGCCAAGGTAAAAGCATGCGACTGAACATAAACGCGCGAGAGCGCAGAAGGATGCACGACCTGAACGATGCCCTCGACGAGCTTCGATCTGTCATTCCCTACGCCCACAGTCCGTCCGTGAGAAAGCTGTCCAAGATAGCCACTCTTCTGCTGGCGAAGAACTATATTCTCATGCAAGGTAACGCGCAAAACGTGCTGAAAAGCACGCTTCCCGTGAGACCTTTCGACCTTGCTAGATTTCACCCGTTCTTACCCAATTACACGTTGACAAATTATACGCCTCGCGCAGGAAACGCTCTGGAGGAACTGAGACGAGTGATAGCGGTGCTTCAGTCGCCCCACGCTCACACCACCGCTCTGCCACCCACGCCTGTTTCCTACGATCTCCTACACGGATTTCCAGGCAAGTTGTTCCAAGGCGTCCAGGACATGCCTGGGCTTCCTGCCACCGATCCTCAGGGTGTCACCGCTGGAGGACCCCCGACTGACGGCGCTGTGACAAGTGGGGAGTCGAATTAAAGATTTCGCTAAGATGTAGAATCGAAAGGAGCAATCAATTGAGAGGAATAGGGTTGGAATTTTAGTAGAACGAAAGTGTTCGATTCAGAGCCACTGCCTCTGTACGTTGAGTACGGTTTTTATCGAATTTTAGCCCTGTTGGCTTCTTCTTCTGTTTGAAATGTACGGAGAAGGGATGAAGTATGGAATAACTTGTATGACAGGGGTGGCGGCCTTGAGTGGAGTATAGTAGAGACATCGAGAGTATCAAAGGATTCTTTACTGATCAGGGTGTCTCATTAGGAACAGGCCAGCCTAGGATCGTCGCTATTTTAAGGAGTCAGAAGGATTGTTTGTGAAAGTAGACGATTTTTAAAATGGTCACGATGGAAATGGTTCTACTAGCTCTTTTTAACGAACTGTCCAGTTTCGAAGATATTCAGCTTTCAAAGTAGCGTTAACCGTTTGGATACGTTTTAGCATCCAATTGAGAGAATACCTACGATCGGATGAGCAAACTGATTAACTCTTTGCGATAGCATGGACAAGGTATTTTCCAGAAACTTTGCATTGTCTCGTATTTTATTTAATCGACGACCAAATCGGGGCAACCTGTCCCGAATGGAACATCCTGTACAGCGTGGTGAAGGGAGAACGATAGAAAATATTACTTCGAACATCGACGATTTCTTTTTCACAGAGAGTACTTGGCTATAATGTAACACGTTTAATCTTCCAAGATCTAACGATCGACTTAACGTAAATGGGCTAGACTAGTGCGACAATGTTTAGCTTGTAAGTTTCGAATGCTGCTCGTTGACGAACCACGAAAGTATTAGCGAAGTATTATTCCAATGGCGGGCGTCCTCTAACGAGTTCGATAAACATTAAGTCAATATTACGGTTGACGCTCCTAAGATGAAAGTTTTATGAAAGTATTAGAAATTAACGACGAAAGAAGTAATAAAAACTCAAGATCTACAATTACTAACGCAGCAATAAGCGACAGCATATTTCTGTCTCTGGTGGAAGGATGCCGAATGACGAGAGAAAGCAATCGCTGTGAAGAAATCTAAAATAATCTCTTTCTTTTTTTGTTTAAAGATGAAATAAGCACTAACTGCCAGAGAGAGAAATAATGTAAAAGGATGAGGAATACAATTTCCAAATCCCGTCCGGTAACGAGATAGTCAATATAGCATGTGATACATGTCGAGATATTATATATAATATATTCTAGTCATACAGATCTTAAATATTCATATACATAATATATATATAGATTATATATATATATATATATATATATTTAATAATTCGAATTGAGCCATCGATTGTATAACTTATTTATATACATAATACGTTTATTAAGAGTTTTACTACGATGTGCCGAGGATTTATCCGTCTTTTTCGTGAGAATAGGGCCTAAGGAAGGACGAGAGGTTTCATGTATTAATGATCGATTCAATTTATCGAACTTTGGTCTTGAAGTCATCGTCTTTCGCCAGGTATTGATATAACGTGGTAGGAATTATACAATGGCGCCGTTCAGTTGGCAAGCAATAACGACTATTAATATTTGTATGGAATTTCTAATTGCTGCGGTCGTTAAATAACAATAAAGCGTGCGGATAACTATTAACGACGAGAACAGACGAAAATGTTTGTTGTAGAGTGTAGATATCACTGTTTAGTGCTCGAATAAAATCTATTTAAGAAAGTTACGGATCGAACGGGTGCTCTGAGAGAAAATCTGAAACGAATGTATCGTACTTATTTGTAACTCGTGGAATCATCAGTTTTCCTTTGTACAACGATCGGTAGTCTTTCAGGGCAATCGTACTATACAATTTTAATTCGTGATGACACATTGAAACGCGTCGGCTGATCGAATTTTCTTTTTGAATAGAACGATTACTTGCATTTGGTATCGGAAGTAAACCTTGTAGGCTTGAAAACAGGTATACAATCCATAAACGTTTTCTCAGAATCTGCGAACAATGCAATTGGATTTGGAGAGTTCGAATAGTATTATTCCTCCGTAAATCCATAATAGAAAGAAATAATAATCTTTAGGAGTACAGTATTCAATTGTTAAATTAACTTGATCTGTTTCTCATCATGAATTTACTCAAGAATAATACCATTCATATGTGGTAAAAAAACTATTTGAAATTAAATGTAATTATCTTAACTTCTTGATGGCTTATTATTTAGTAATAAATAATAACTTTCCATCTAACAAGCTAATCTAATAAATTATATGCACGTTTTGAAGACTGCAAGCATCCGGCCTTTATCGATAGACGTATCACGCAAAAATTCCGATATCTACGCGATGAATTTGCTCGTCGTCCAGTTCGAAGAAAAGCACAAGCTCGATGTTCAACCAACGACTTTGGGTTTAATCTCAGCCGCGAAGATATCGGTAGCGCGTGACTCATTTGACGAGAATTCATCGACCAGCTTTGAAATGTCGAGCAAATTCGATTTCGTATTACCGCCATAATTGGCCGAACAGGCGAAAAGAAACGGTCGATCGGTATCGTCGCCGACATTAATACTTCGTGCAAAGGGAATGTATTATAATTCAATTCGTAAAACGACGGAACTGTTTGTCCCTGAGCTTTCAAGTGTAATTATATATTACATGAAAAAAAAAAAAAAAGATAATTGTTATCCGACTTATAGGCCACGCGACCGATTGGTGGCGCCATCTCGACGACCGCGCGACGCAGTACCGATTCGATTGTACTCGAAGACACCATTAGAAGACGCGTTACTTTAACGTCGTGAAATACGGAAGCATTTGCACAAATCTGCACAAATGTAAACGAAGAATGTGCGAGTTGTAGCTAGTCCGAGGTTCGTGTTAACTCGATCAGTCTCGAGTTTCAAGTAACGAATTTCGTTCGAGTAAGAACGGTTCGACCAGTGGCGCCATCATGGCCGCCGCTCGACGGAGCATTCACTCGCTCGTCTTCCGTCCTGCTGGGAGGACCTCAACGCCGTGTGTGCCTGCTTCGACGGGGTTTACTGTGTGCGTGCCTCGTCGGTGGCTTCAAGATGGCCTGCAGGCTGCTGCTGTTGCGCGCCATGGTGTGATCGTTTGATTCCTCGGTGCTTGTGTGCCTCTCGCTAAACGTTTCGTGAAAGAGTTCGTCAGTGCCAGGACGACGACGTGCCTTGACCGGCTGGTAACTGGGGGCAAGTTGGAGATGTGACGATCGACTGGAAACCGGTAAGTCCGCAAAGTTGCACGATTTTCTACTCTACTTTGCGACAACCGCCGGATCGTATTTTCGTTGCTGACGCGTTCGTTCGCGAAGGAAAGATCGGTTGCGGTTAGGTGAGAAAACGCGGAGTAAAGGAGTAGGCCGTGACAAACGAGTAGACCTCTGAACGTAACGAACTTTCTTTTTCCTCGGCTTGTAGGAATCCGTCGATCGGGACGATAAAACGACCGCTGCGAGCCACGGAATGTTTTAGGACGATTCTCGTTGATAGGTTATGATGTCATAGTCGTCAACAGCTCGCATAGTCTCTTTGTCTTCGTTGCACAGTCGCGACCATGTATCTTCGAATACGTTCATTGTTCAACCTTGTTTGTTCGTCCGCGAGGAAAGTAATACGAAACGGGACGGTTAACCTTACTGAGAAAGAAACAATTAAATCGGTTTGCAACAACGTCGAAATTAAGCACAGCTTCGATGGCTGGCGTTTCTTCGTTGCAGTTTGGAGTAGAAGTTGTACGTCCGTACGTATTGGAGTAATATTTTCCGTGTCGCGAGTGGGAGAACTAACCTTACCTCTCGATTGGCCGTAAGACACACGGACGGTTCGCTATTGGTAGTCCTTTCTACATACCTGGCACGCAAGATACCTGCACTCCCGGTTATATCGAGCTTTGTAACTTTTGCCGTTCCGTTCCTCTTGCTTTTTAATTTATCGATCAATGGATTCTACGGAAACGTGCGTTACCCGTTTAAGCTTTCCATCGTGAAGGACGCTCCGCTCTTGCTCACTGCCAAAAATATCGATGCGGAGAAATGCGTGTCGGAAGGACGATACGCGGTAGATTCGTTCGAATGAACGTAAACGTTATTCGGGATCATGGAAAGTTTTATTCGAACTAAAGCTAACGAATAAGACCTTCAGAAATTGACTTCGTTATATAGGAATATATTTACTTGGCCATTGTGAAATATTTCGTTGTATAATTCGAATCATAATTTTGATTTCAGGGATGCACGAGTTTATTTTCTAATCTTATATAAATTGAGAATTTATTCTCATCTCTGAGGTGTTACTATATCCCTCGATCACGAGAAAAGAATATACAAGACACTCTTTTCAACTTGACGACGTAGAATGACCAGAAGGGGGGATTGGGGATGTAATTTTACATAATATAATGTCGAATCACATTGTTGATACTTCTGCAATGTACATTCAGCTGAGAGCTATTTAATTAGAGTTCCAACATGTAATACAAACGCTAAACATAAAGTTATCGCGGTATCAGCTACATCGGATCGTGTAGTTGTTTATTTTGTTATTTTTAAAAAAAAAAAAAGCTACGACACTTCGACAAATGAAAATTGTATCATATCGAAATATGTACGGTTGGTAACCGTAGCAGTCGAGCGAAATCTCGCGATTCGAGCAAAACAGACAGATATCTGTTACGACGAGCGACCAGTACGAATATTGCAGTCGCTGGTTGCAGCAAACCGTTGACCAGCCTGTATTTGACGTCAATTTAGATCGAAATACTTAGAAACGTTTCATTTACTATCTCGTGATCTTCGCTGGTGAATCGACTGTGAACCGTACAACACTCGTTCTCGGTAGTAACTGCACAGGAAACGGTATACCGCTGTCTGGTAAGGTAAATAACAAACTTTTTAGGCGTTCGTTTCGTACCGTGAACAGAAGTGGACAGAACTTTATTGGATCGATAGATAACGAATGAAGCAATTTAGTTTCGATGTATCTTCTATTGTACAGTTATCGTAGCAACCTTCACTCGTTCAACTCGAAATAGAATTTTATTTTATCGTTAATTATTAATCGTTCGTCTTCCATTCGTCCTCTTTCGTCTATCGACAAGAGTATCGTGCTTCATAAGACCGTCATACGTCTCATACAAGAAAACAATTACAAACTTAGAGTTTCCATTTTACAAGACTTTGTAAAACAACGTGCCAAAGTCTTGAGAGAAATCGCTGATGACGCGTTTGTTGCGAGCTTATCTCGGGTATACGTGTACGTCGGACACTCGGTTATGAATCACGTGTAATTTACGATAAAAAAACACCTTAAGTGCAATTGGTTAGACGCACGTGTATATCGGAATAATTACAGCGTGCCTTAAGCGAACACGTGACGAGCATACTCGCGCATTAATTTTGACGAATGCGCAACGTCGAGCTTCGAGAAATTCCACAAGTATCGGTCGCAAGATTAATTTTAATTTCCGTCGCAGAACATGTGTGATATATCGCACGGACCAAAAAGTTGTTCTAAAATCGTGGCCAGGTCAAAGGTCAGCTTTCGATTCCCTTATCGAGCCTTTGTTCTCGCGCAAAGGGCGATTGTGCTGGCGCGAATCTGAATTTCGAAGACGGAATTTAAAAAAATATCGCGACTCGGCCTGGTCCGTTCTGGGTCGTAACATTGTTGTCTTATCAACCGCAGAAACCGGAATTAATGTCTCTCGAGCGACGAGACGCTTCGTTATCGATATCATGGCGCCGAAAAATATATACATTACAAAAGCGATAATTTTCTTCGAAAAAATTTGTTGCGTTTCTCCTTGGCGTGATTCGTCATTGGGTAAATCGCGTGCTTGAGTAACTTTAGTATTTGTCAATTAATAGTTGTAAGAATCTGATTTCGATTCGTTAGAAAGACTAATCGCGCTGTTGATAGTTTTTTTCAAAGCACATACAACAAGCGATGCAACGCTTTCGAGTGTTAATTTTACATTCATGCGTCGCTATGCCTAGTAGAAAATTTCAAGACGTCCTCATGGAAGAACTGTTTCTCAAGAGCTAGACAACAAACGAACTTCGTGTTTCGCACAACCTATCCTTTTTAATGTCGAAAAGATCAGCGCACACGTGCTGCTTGTTCCTCGTCAGGCACGTATCGGAATGCACGTTTCTCGCACGATTAGAGTGGGCACGGAATTCGCGTGAATCCCGTTACGAAATCGGATAAGAAACCAGAGGAGAGGCTAAAAGGAGGATACGCAGTAATGGCAGCCAGATGTGTCGTTATCATACAGAGATATCGTGTTCATTCTTTGGCGGGCGCACCTGCGAATACGGTTGCTCGCTGGAAAACTTTCTAATACCGTTTCCAATGTTTTTAATTAACGATCATCCCCCGAGAATTCGACCGGTGAACATCTAGTTACGATTATTTGTTTTTCCATCGAACATAGAGGGACTATATTCGATTCTATTTGAAATGATAGTACTCTTCATCGCAATTAAACCTGAAAGATGCGGTACAACTTCGCAGATTACTGTAAAATTGCAGTAAAAGTTACTAATTACGAAAGTTTAGAAAGAAGTTCGAAGCGGACGAGTAGAAAACAACGAAATCCCGGAGTTCCTTTCGAGAAGAGGAGCTCGTTGCTAGAAAATAAACAGGCTAAACCGGAGTTTGTCGATTTCGCGACGTCGTTCTGCCGTTTTCCCTCTCCCTCGGCACTTTTGAATTTATTATTTTTCATTAACGAACAGCCAGAGAACCGACGGACGGGCGAGAGCGTCGCGTGAAAAATGGTAAAACGAGAGAGCAGTCGAGAGAGGGAGGAAATAGGCTGCCGTTGGGGGGATAGAGGCGAGGGAGAGAGACGAAAACAAAGCGAACGCAGCCGCCGGGGCAACAATGGCGCATCGACCCGCCAAAACGCGCGCCGATGCGCAGAAACGCGCGCGCGTCGTGTCTCGTCTCGGTCGCGGAGCGTTTTAACCAATCTCCTGAAACCCTCGTCCGACGTTTATTATGCCAGACCGATCGATTTCTCGACGAAGGATGTAGATCGCGGTGGATCCGTTGCGTTGCTCTCCGCGGAAGCGACTGGAAAACAGAAAACAGTCTACCAGAAAATCAATTTCTGACGTCGGGATATCGATAGTATCTCTAAACATCTCCGAGTGCCATCCTGTGGTTACCTTCACCAATATTTATATTTACGAAGATCCTCCTCCTCTTGCCATTTCTGAATCCGTGTACGTGTTTGTAGCTGTGTGACGAGAGCTCAATCTACTTGCTTGATGCGCAAAAGCATGCGCTCGTGGGCTCGTGGGGAGAAACGGCTTTGTATCGAGGTGGTAGCCTGTTCTTCGTCGGAGGTTAGGAACTGTTCAGCTGTTAACAGAGCAAGAAAATAATTAACTGTATCAAATCCATGAAATTGAGATACATTACGTACGTTACAGAGATACATTCACTCATTATTAAGAAATGATAAGCCAAACTATTCAATGACCATCGTCCAATGATGTTTTTCTACGGAGATGGTAGCTGCCCCTGCATTGAATGTTGGTGGTTAAGAACTGTTTGCTGTTAATAGAGTAAACCAATAATTGCTTGTACGAAGTAAATAAAACAATCGATACAGAAATACATTCGCACATTAACAAGTACTGATAAATCAAACTATTCGATTACCATCGTGCAACGAAGCCTGATCAGTTCAGAAGAAACATGTTCTGGGCAGCGTGGGACCAGCCACCTATAACGTGTTATTTGATACTTCGGCATACCAAACGTACGGATTCGGACCGCGTCCTCGCGGCCCAACAAATTTTTCCCAGCGTCCAAACGCTTATCATGACGAATATCAACTCGAGTCAGAAAATACCAGTGCAGAGAAGTCGAAGAGTGGAAGACTCCGTTGTGGGTTGACTACGTCCTGCGGTGGTTAATTTCAATCCGATACGCGGCCTCTTTCAGAAATTGCTGCGGGTATCCTGGAGGACCCTTCGTCCCAGTTCGTTCCAGTGCACGAGGCAGGACTGAGAAGTATGGTCCAGGATGGATGAAGATCAGGTGCCCGTGGTTGCCAGGGCAACCAGCATTGATCCCTCCCCTCTTGTTCTACCGTCCTTTTCGCCTCTCCTCCTCCACACATTATTGGTCTCTCCTCTCCTCCTTCTCCACCCCCCCCCCTCCTCTCTCTCTCTCTCTCTCTCGTCACACAGCTACAAACACGTACACGGA